TTGTAAGTAAATGTATCTCTCTCTCTGTCTCTATTTACACTTGGCAACATTACGCTGCCCATTAATTAAGATTACAGACTTATAAGAAAGAGGACATTTCCCATATTGCTGCTGTGTGTCACCGAAGGAGCCGCTCCATGCAGACAGAGAGGAGCCTCGATGGATCTCCTCTGCTCAATGCTGGTTCTTTCCTCCGTCCAGCAGAGCCTTAAATGTATTTCTCTGTGTTCTGTTATTTTTATATGAGATGGTCAGATATGGTCTGAGTGGTTGTTATGTAAGGCTTAAAAGATATGGAATGACATTCACTGCCATTAGTCCTTGTCTCACATTGTCAATATGAAACAGAGAGCTTGTTTATCAGTTTCTCTGGGATGCTCTGTTATGTTCGGAGGATGTTTCTTCTGGCATGTTTTTTATTTGGATGTCATATAGCAGCATTGGTCTGTTAACAATACCTCAGAAAGCATTCTTGAAGCAGCGTATTGGAAGTGTGTCTGTTTATTCTACTTTTCTCTTCAGAGATAATGTACATTTTCAAAAAGATGATGTAGTCCAGCAGCATGGCAAGTGTCTCCTTCGACTTGGAGATTTGTGTTTGACTCTTTAAAAGGACGATTTGCGTTAAAGTGCTAAAATAATGACAATATATTTTTAGATTCATCTCGTCCCAGCTTTTTCTATTTTTTCAACTTTCACAGCTTCTGTCATTTGAATGCAATTTCAGGTTCTGATTGCTCTGTTGCTTGCATGCTAATCATTGTTATCCTATAACTTGTTTTCTATTATGCTCTTTTTGCGTTTAATGAAAGGTCATTTAATAACACAGAGAGAAATGAAAAGGTTACAAGAGGACAGTAAACAGATGCGCAACAACAACATAGGAGATGCACACACACAACAAAGTGTCGAGCCTTTGCTTCTGCAGGAGTATGTTTTTAAAAAATCACTCATCTTTTCCCCACAGTTCTGAGGGGTAAAACTAAAAAGGAAAATACTCGGTCACTACTTTGTAAGAAACTACTCAAAACACCAGCATTGTTCTGAAATTCTCTCTCAAAATAAACAACAAAATATTCAGTTACTGTCGGTTTATCAAGTTGTCAATACTTGAGTTGTTATTTTAGGTGTGATGGGATGATTAGAAGTATTGAGGCTATAATACAATATTAATTAAGCCTTACTGTATTTTGTAGAAACACCGGTAGCACTTTACAATAAGACTACCCGTATAAAGGGTTTACGAATAGTTTGTAATTAATTTATTAATTAGGTTGTGAACACTTTATAAATGATTAATAAGCTTTTATAAGACATGAGATAAACAGGGCAACTGTGACTGGTTGCTTGCCAAATAGTGAGCCCACATTTATCTGTACTGCGAAGTCTTATATTGGCTACCTAGCTTACTTTGTCTTCTTCATCAGCTAGCATCCTTGGTATCTGTTGTTCACTGAGTTGATTCTTGCCAAGTAGCCAATATAAGCGTCATCTTGCCAAATAGTGAGCCTGTGTTGATGTATGAAAACTATGTTAGATCTGGTTTATAAATGGTTCTTAATGATAAATAAAGTGTTTACAACCTAATTAATAACCTAATTACAAACCCTTTATGAATCCTTTATAAGGGTAGTCTTATTGTAAAGTGGTACCGAAACACCTAATTGTCCTTATTAGATTTTAGTTTTTTACCATCCAAAGAAATGCTCATATTTAATCCTTCCTCCTCTCATCAGCTAGTTGCTAATGTTTCTGTGTTGGTATTCTCTGTACATTTATTCCTTCAAGCGAGACCTTTTATAATATCCCTTTTTATCACATTGTCATTTAACACAATTTACTAAACAATGTCAGTAATAGCTGCTTTGAGACCTTACAGTGAGACTATAGTGCTGCTATGGCTATACAGAAATGTAGTAAGTACATCTATTCCATTTGATATCCGTCTTTGTGAACAACTGGAGCATTTGTACCCATTAATGACCTTCACATACTGTATAATACACCGCTGAATCTTCTCTTATATTCAAAAACCGTGCCAGCAAACTCTGAGTCAAACTGCTGGTCTTTCTATTCTTTGATACCTAAAAACTTGAAGGTTTAATTTATCAAGTCAGACAATAAAGACTTGACATTATGAACTGGCTTTGTAGAGACCGGGAATTATTTTAGTTCACACTTTGAAGTATAACTGTGCAACGCTCTTCCATAAAGTCTCCTTTGTGCTGATGTTTTCAAGTCAATGGAGGCCCAGCGTGTCAGCCCACCTTTCCATTAGCGGAACAATAACCTTGATTTTTTTTATTTCTTATTAGAATTAAGAAGAAGGTTGTCAAGCTCTCTAAGAAAGATTTTCTATGGGATCTTTTCTTTGAATTGAACTAACGAGAGAGAAACAGGTTTGATATAAAGACAAACTTTTCAATAATGAATCACATTTGTTTTAGGTAGAATGGCATTTTAGATTGAAGACAAACTAAATCTGAACCCGTTTACAATCATTCAAAAATATTGAAGTATTTTGTATCTGATAAAGAAAGTCAGACGTCAATTACAAGTCACGCATTTATTGGGAAATATTGTGGCACAAAAAGCAACCCAGGGATTACTGAAAACAGGAGAAAAACATTTCCAACACACTTTCATGAAGTCAGATTAAACTATAAACCATTATATACAAGGACCTCAAGAAGAATTATCACTATTTTCCAATTGTCAATCCTCTGTGGGTGGTCACACCTCACTTTTGGGCAGCTTCTGAATGAAAAACAACAGGAAACAAACAGTGTATCTTGAAATGGATCTGTGAAATCATTAAAAAAAAGAAGCTGAGAACAAAGAGGGAATATTTTTTTAACTTGTTCATGCAGCAGCTGATGCCAAAACGATCCATCAAAAGAGACTAATTTAAATGATGTCTCCATCTTATCTCCTCTATTTAACGACCCTGATCTTGTGTTGACATTAAGGTTTGCTTACAGATAACAAAATCTAGAGTGACTCACTGATATATTAATACACACATTTGAATTATATTGCACATTTAATAAATAAGCCTCTGTCACATGTTATGCTCATCAGGCTGAATTCTCCTTTAAAGTATTGTCTATAGTGTTAGATTATATATTTTTGGGGTGATTTTATGAAAATGGGGTAAGAGGAGCAACACTGCAGCATAGAGGGCATAATTTATCTTCAGACGAATGTGTCAGCTTGTTGGCTGTCGTCATGAACATGTAGACAATTAGACAACATTCATGAGATTAATTAAATATTTGTTCTGCATTGAATACAGCACTGGTGGACACTTTGGTAAGTCATATTCAATTTCATGTTTACAAAACTCTGCACTTAGTGGAATATTATCCTCATTATTTACTGTATAATAAATGTTGTATGAGTAGTCACAGTGAAAGAGTTAATGGTAAACATATTTTCAAACTGTAACTATCCTTTATTACACATTCAAATCAAAGGAAGGAGGAACAAAATATAACCCGGTGTTGAAGAGAACCTTTTTACAATATTCAAGCTATTTTTTAAGTCAGAGGAGGTTAAAGTCCTCTGAGTTCAAAGCGCATACCTAAAATGTTTTTTAACCCAACATAGATACTTATTGATTTCAAGATACTTAAAAGGAGACAGATCCATTCCACTAATGTGTTTTATTATAAACCAGGTCACCAGGCAATGAGAATATGAAGGTACAAAGGTTACTGCGCCACATTTAAAGAGAAGGTTCTCGACATTTTTCTACATTAAAAACTCTGTATTGAAACATAAAAATGTGCCTCTACAAATAAAAACATACTTTTAATATTTATTTATCGAGGGAAGTGTCAACGAGACAAATGTTCTCTTTTACTCAGTTAAAAGTTTAGTCTGACAGTAGAGCGATCAACTTCTCCTCATAGACTCAAGACAGACATTTGAATAAAAGCCATCAAAACTGACCAGACAGGACAAGAGATCCTCTCTTTTGTTATTCACACATGTATCTGAACCTGCTGCCTACATTACCCACAATGCAACTAAATACTTACAGAGCGGGTTACAGCGTTGGTGCATTAACTCTATCTGTAGCCCCCCATTCGTTTTTTGTTATTTTCAAAATAAGTGACATTACAAGACACATCAAACAGCTCCCCCTGGAGTCCCTCGAGGCTTTACAGTACAGCTCTTCAGAAATAGTTAATGATTAAATGAATGATATTAAACAGCATTTCATTCAGAAACATTTTTTAGCTGTATCATCTTGACCATGGAACTGACCTAATGAGTTTCAACATATTTTAATTGCAGATGTTGAATTTTTCTGAGAAATGTAAATACTACCCATGCCTGTTGGTTTTAATTTAAAAATATTATTGACCTTAAAGTAGAGCATACTGTAGAGCTGGGCAACTCCTTCTGCTGAGGAAAGTGTTATAAAACATTCAAAAGAGGTATGAATGAACCGTTGTTAGTTTTTTTTATTAATAACTAATACTTACAAAACCTTCCGTCAACTGACATGCCCTGATGATTTAGAATTAACAGGTTTAATTTTATGAGAAGAACACCAGATTTATCGTTGGTTTCTTCTCTTTAGTACAGGCACAATAATTAGGCCGAATTGCAATTCGGATATCCATTATAAAAACAACAAAAACACACAAAATTGGATATGAATGCAAGCATTTCCGATGTCCGGAACCAGGCTCCGTTAGTAGTAGTTAATTCCCAAAGCAGAATCAATGACAAACACTGAAGCGGTTTATCAGGCATGAGTTTAGTCGATAATACTTCAAACGCATAACCTTTAATCACTCTTGGTCAGTTTTTCATCGTAAGTTCCTGCAGCCTCCTCACAGTTATGGCACATGACCGCGTGAGCATGCAGGTGATCACCTTCAAAATGTTATTTCTCCTAAACATCCAGCTGGCTCACACACTTCATAAAAGGCTTCGGCTGAATGAGGGGAAAAGAGAAAAATAATCTAAAACACAGAGAACACAAATAAAATTGTTGAAAACGTTTATGAAAACAAAGCAAAATACTGACATTCATAAAGAAGACGCTGGCACCGTTACATGTTACAGTTCACAAGTATTGTCGCACAGATGTATGAAGTCCAGTCAGTGTGTAAGAGTCATTTCTTTGGTATATTAAAACACTGTAAAGCAGCTCATATTACATGCAGCAGATTTAGTAATTTAAAAAACATAAAACAAATTAGGTAGCTGACAACAAAACACAAAAATCTAATTGCATATCCGGCACGTCATGCTGTAAAAACAAGTCTTTGCAAATATCATTCACAGATATTGTATACAAAAAACACAACTCTGAAGTGCTTCATAGGCATCAATAGATAGTGTCCAAAGTAAAAGAGACCTGCAGTTGATCTTCCAACAACATGCTTTAAAATGATGGCAAGAAAGGCGAGCATATTCAAACAGCATGCTCACCAGCTTCTACTGTCCACAGTAAATTAAAATAAATCATAAATAAATGTTTTTAAACGTAATGCTATGTTTTACAGGGAGAGGTTTAAAATGGGCATAGTATCTCATTTGAGCTTTAATGGTTTTTCTGAGAGTCAACAGTAGATGGCAGCAAAGTAGAACTAAATACTGAGAGGGAAACTCATTGCAGATATTCTTTGGTGTTATCCATTCAAGAATCCTTAAAAAACTAAACTGAGAGTTCAATATAAAAATAAAAATAAAATGGTAAAACACACAAACCTGCATTTAGATCTTAGAGGGAAACAAATATTGCAGGAGCAGGTATGCATAGTCAAAAGATAACCTGTCTGCTGGTCAGCATTAAACTGAGAGCTGGCTGTTTACTGCTGCTTCGACGAGGCAGTTCCCAAAAATAAAGTGCATCAAGTTAGTCAGTCATGACCTGATTTAAAACATCTAACTGCAGGATACATTTTCCAAGACAGTTTGTGAAAGGTTGAGTTCTACAGCAATGATGATTTCAGCAGTCTCAAGCCTTTAATGCACTGACTGTGGCCTGTTTTATTTGCATTTTAACTACCTTCTAACTATTAATTTAACTTATTCTCACCCAACAAAGAGTGCAGTTTACACATCAAACCCACTGCAAAATAAAAAAATGCAGCTTTTATCAACCCTAAGGTTGAATGAGCAAACCTACAGCGACTCTTTGGCTGATGTACAAGACACTAAGGGCAGTATCATCATAAAAGGCAAGTAAACATTACAAAGCTGCTTGTGCACGGCTACAAATTAAATAAAAAGAGAACACTCCTGCTGATGTGCACTTTGGCCACAGATTTAATGGCATTTGAAGTCAAATATTAACAGCTGGAGTCTGCTAGATGAGCCTGTGCCCTATCTGCTCCTGCAGCCACAGCAGAGCAGGCTGCAGAGCGCCGGGCCCCTCAGGAGCCTCTGTCTGCATCTGCAGCAGAACGTCGTGTAAAACTAGCAGCAGGGGCAAGCTCACGCTCAGGAGTTCATACAGGAGCTCATAGTCCTGGGCATTGTCCCTCAGGTGGGCGGCGAGGCTCTGTGCTGTACTACGCACACGATTGGACAAATACCGGGGGGCGTTACACACAGCACGCGTCACACGCAGGGGCCAGCTCAGGTGTTTCCTCATGAACGAGCTGAAGGTACCTGCTGAGGATTCACTCTGCAGGTCCACAAGGCTGCTGGACTGTGAGCTCTGTTCATCATCTACACATGGCTCCTGTACTCTGGCTCCAGATGGATTCTACGTAGAGGACAGAGGAGTTAGAAATCTTACAGTAAACACTGCTAGATTAAGATGGATATGTTACAGTAATGTACTCACAGAGCGAAAAGACAAGTTCCTCCATAGGTTTGTCCCGTTGTTGCGTTGATCAAAATGAAGTTTACAGTACAATTTTCCTAAAGGATTACAGCAACGGTCAGTAAATTGTAGCATGCTGAGCTTGGATTTATATTGTAAATGTAGATTCAGTACTCAGGAGAGCTGAGATCTGATGACACATACCCTCTTCAGAGTCGAAGGCATGTGCTCCCTGTCGCAGGGTGGAGCTGCAGGTGGAACAGCGGAAACACTCCCTGTGGAAGAAGAGCCCCTCGGCACAGACCCTCTCCACCATGTAAACACGCTTCTCGCATGAGTGACACTTGTCGCCCGACGGGGGGAATGCCCTTCGTACTGAGCCGCCCTGGGATACAAAAACAATGAAGATGAGCAATGTGTCACAAAAGCTTAAACACTGACTTTAACCATTCTTATCTATCACTATTTCATACTAGTTCAACTCAGGGTGATTCAATATTCACAATTTAAGATCACTTAGATGTCTGTCACTTTTGACAAAAAAAGACTCCTCAAAATAATCCTTTATAAGAGCCTTTGCGGCTATTCAATATGTTAAATCTAATTTGATCTTTTTAAAGTTTTAATGTCTGGTCAGTATTACCTTGTGGCCTTATATCTTTTTTTATAAAGCTATTAAGAAGGGCTTGAATTAAGATTTTATATTCCAAGTTCAAGAATAAACGTTTAAGTTCAACGGTTCTTACTGGTCACATAACTTTGTGCGATACATTTAGACTCTGTGTTGTTCTTGGAATTGTTGAGGAAAGCTTGAAACAAAGGTGGCATTACATGCAGGGAAACTGGCAACATTAACGGCTGAGTGCAAGATAAGAAATACCCAGCCGTTTCAATGTCACTCACCTCCTACATTTCATATTGACCAGATATAAATAATGTGTACTGTGAAGTCTGCAACCTCGACCTTGTTTGCAACGGCACACTTAGATTCAGCCAAGAGGAAAACATAGCAACGGAGAGCAAATAAAGATAATTATAGAATGGATTTAAACACAAATAAACACAAGTGGTTAGGTTGGTTAGGTTAAAACGTTTATCATGTCTAAAGAGTTCCCCAATGGCTCTTGAGAATTGAAATGTGATCCAAACATTGTGTACCAGGAGTTGTTCCTTTATATTTAACCAGCATGCTATAGCATCTGGCTGTGGAGTTGGAGCAGGCTGTTTGGGATGGGTGGAGCAGAGGAACCCACAAAGTGCCACCACAAGAACACACACTCCTCTTATGTGAGGACGGCTCGTGATTAAAAGCATGAGGGGCAGAAACAGCAGTTAAAACCAGAGCTCTCATGCAAAGCAGCAGTCATTTCACATACAACAGTTATGATTAAATAGAAGGATGACAACAACGTAAAGCTTGAGCTGAAATGCTTGTTTTTTTAAAGCTGTTTAGAACAGAAAGAAAACGTGCTGCCATCAGGATTAATAAAAGATGTTGTTCTTTCACTACCGAAACACTAATTACATCATGAGCATTAGGTCGACTAGATAAAACTACGGCTGTCTAAAAAACTGTCCTTCAATAAACCGTAACTTATTAACATTTAAAATGTTCCAAATTGGTTGAAGCTTTAGAGAGAGTCAAGGTTGTTAAAGGCTGTAGTATGTGGTGCTGTTACATTTAATTTTGTTATACAGTATTGACACATGCTATGGCAATCTTGTTCTTAAAGAAACATTATCATTCATTTGGAGTCCTATGTTTGGTAAGCGTATACATTTAAGCACAATATTCACTCTCTATTAGCTCTGTTTTTGGTGTCTGCCAACTCCTGAGGGAGAAATCTGGCTTTAGCGGTTAAATGCTGCACTATGTTTACCAGCTAGTCGCTAAATGGTTCTGTTTGCTGTTTGGTTCAGTGTAGGTAGTGTTCAGTGGGTTTTATAGCTTTCTTGCTGAAAAAGCTGCCTGCTGTGACTGAAAATGACGCTATGAGAGGGGTGAAAGTGAATCAACAGTAAAGTTGAGAGGTCTTAAGGTTTATGACTACCGCTTTCACGTTGTTTTCACATTGTCATTTGCTAAAGGAAAAATATAAAAAAATACTATCCACATTAAATCTCACTTTGATGAAATCAGTCATTTAATTATTATGACAGGTAAAATACAAAATGAAATGTATGGTTTACAAGATAAGGGATTATGTGAAGACTGGCCAAATGCAGCACTTATGATACAAAACACAACATTTCTCTTCATGCATTGAACACACTGTGAAGAGCACAGGGTCAGGGTGGGGTCACACAGCAGGCAGGATATAGTCACCTTGAGCTCAGCAGAGCTCTCTGCTGAGAACAACCCCCTAAGGTGAACAGCTTTTTCCTTTATACTCTTTGTGTGAAACTCTCTAGCCTGTTGTGTCTGAGCTTTTTTCTGCAGGATGACACGGAGGACAGGTACAAAACAAAAGCCATCAGTCTCTACAGTACAACGAGACACATTCTCCCAGCAACAAATGTGGAGCTTTCCGTGTGTAAATAGCTAGACTAATAACCCTTTAATAAGCATTACACCGGTAAATGATGAAAGGCCTTTCTGTTCCTACTTCCCCAATAACAAGGAGAAGTGGGTATTGTTGGAAGGAGAACAATAGCGTGGCTGTGTGGGATGAAGGCTACCTTATTACTTTCATTTCACACCCCACTTGATGTGGTTACACAAACTCTACTGGAGCAGAAAACAGCCACACAGAAATGGCACAGGAATCAGAGACTAGTACGTTGGTTGAGCCAAAAATAAAATGGCAATAAATCCCCTAGTGAAGTCGTAAAGTCAGATTTCAAAGCACTTTAATGCACAATGTTGAACTTTCTACACATTGATAATACAGGTATGGACAGAAATGTAATTATTCACTTAGTAATTTGAGAGTTAGAATATTCAAAGGATAAATACCACTGTCTTGTGCCCAGGTATGGATCTATACTCAGAGGGGGTTACACTAGTATTTAAAATGATCTAATATTTAAGTAAACAAAGAAGGCTAATAAATCATTAAATACAGTCAATCTGCACTGAATAAGAAGAGCTGTGGTCACGAAAATAATCCATCTGGAGTGCAGTTTATGCAATATTAATTTAGTTGAAATGTATTTTAACTGAGTGTTTACTCTTTATTTGTTTAAAGAACACTGCAGTTATGTATCTCATAAATCACTTTTCTCAAAAAACAAAACTTTTAATGACTTGATAAGGAGAACTATTTTTCAGTGCTAACTTGAGCCAACGCAGGCAGGCAGTAGGAACGTCTGAACAATCCAAAATAACTTATTTGAAGACCTAAGCAAAGGCCTGCAGCCCGGCTCTGGCCAAACCGGCTCAACTCACACTCAGACTGGCCAATAATCCGCCTGTGTCCCTGTCTCAGCCCATGGCCAGCTCTGTGGGCCTGCTGCTGCCATTTTTGTCAGGCTGGATAATTTAGGGGCTGACTTCACCATCTGACTACACATTACACAAGACTAAATGTATAATCAGGGCAAAATATATAATCAGCCTTCACTCTGGGGCCTCTTTGGGGATCGGAGCATGCAACAATCAGTGGTTTTGAAAAGAATGCAGGGAGGAAAAACAGAAGTTAAAGACGTGAAGGAGAAGATAGAGATCACCTCAGAGACGTGTTCGTCCACCTCCCTGAGGCGCTGGAGGACTCTCGACATGAAATGGATTGCAGATTGGCAGGAGGGAGACGGAGCGGGGGGGTCTGCGCTCTCAGGCTGAGGCTCAGGCTTCGTCTCAGCGTGCGTCTGATCAACATGTCTGAGCCTCACTACAGAAAATGGATGCTGGGCCTCGGGCTGCAGCTGAGGTTTGGGGAGGGTCTTGGGAGGCGGGCGCACTAAGTGTTCGGCTGCCTTTCTGATACTGACTTCAAACTGAAAGGAATAATATACAGTAGTGCACATCAAGCACAGAACTCCATGAATGTATTTTCTCCATTCCTAAAAAGCAGTAGATCATTTAAAGATCCAGGTGGTTTTATACGTCTCAGCCCATTAACCCCAAATTACTTTGCTGCCAAACATCTTCAAAGCATTGCACGCGTATTTTGAGGTGTTATTCCCGCTGGCATAGCATGGAAATCAACTTGCATAGGTAATCTATTTCAGTAAATATTCTATCTGTTTCATGTTTTGCCAGAGTTATGTAATCATCACATGTTAACCCAATGGCAAGCAGGCTGCTGTTTAAACAATTCAAAAACTGGAAGGTCCGAATGAAACTCAAAACCTGACAGCAACATTTATGAATGAGAGAAACTGTTCACAATATCTTTCTCTGGTAGCTGCAGACTACCTGCATCTCAGGAGGAGGTTTAGGTGGGACTCGAGGCCTCAGTTCAATGTGCACTCTCTCAGCAAAGGTAAGAGTTTGCAGGGAAGAAGACGTCTTTGCAGAAAGGTTAGGAAGAACGTTAACAAAAAGTCACAGAAATAGAACAGGTAGAAACGATTAAAGGCTGGAAACAACAGAGAAGAGAAGACTTTGTAACAAAGGAAGGTTTTGTCAGATTAAGACTGCAGACCACGGTCCAGACTCCAGCTCACAGCAAGGGACATTTAAAACATATGTATGATATGTTATAAAAATAAAGCAAACCATTTTAACTATATTAAAGCAGTAAGAATTAAACATGTTGCCTTTAGAAAAATACAACATACATACAGTACAGTAAAACATACTTTCTTACAGCCCAATAGGACGACAATTAAAACTCTAGTTGGACTACAGTAAAAATCAAAACGATGGGCCTGTTTTAAACACGTTTGTTTACCTGTGTTTTGCTGATGGAGTAGCTGGGTCTGGGTGAGCTTTCAAACTTGGCCAGCAACTGAGTAGAAATTGAGCGCACTTTATTTTCCTTTGGCTCTTGGTCGTCTCGCACTGGGGAGCCATTACTGGACAAATTGGTGGCCTAACAAGAGACAGACAACAGGGAAGATCCTACTGTATCAGCAGGCTTTTTTAATGGTTGTTAAATATACAATTACAAGTAGGTAAGTTAGCAACAAACCTCCTCCAAATAACTGCAGAATTTCCGCCTCCTTTTGTAAATGGGATCTGTACCGTCTGTCTTCTGTTCATCCTGAAAGGACAGCAGAAGAAAAGAAAACTGAATTTCAAACTAACAAAATCTCATATGTTTATTTAATAAAATGCCTTTTATAACTCATTTAACAATGACATACTGTATGTTTATAAAACTAATTCCAAATGAATGCATTTTCAGATTTAAACTGTGTGGGGTTACCTTTGGTACCCGTTTCCTGGGCTGTGCAAGATTGAGCACATTATTATTACTTCTGACATCCTTAGAGGGATAATCTTCATTATTTTCATCCACTCCTCTGGATCCTGCAGTATAACACATGGCTGCATTAGAGTTTCCAAGTTTCCACAGTGCATATCCATTAAAGTCAGATGATATCAATGAATAAAGACCATATAGATATAGATAGAAAGTTATACGAGTGGTCTGCGAAAAAAGTGATTGTAGTGAAGAGAAATGTGCCACTGAAAAAACAAAGCCTTATTGAGTCCCTCAGCTGCATGTCAGAGGGATGTGACTGGTGTAAAATAAACAAGATGTTATACAGGTAGATAAGCATTCAATATCGCTTCATCAGAGAAAGGCAGCTGTTTTCATGTTGTCAAGACTCTCAGACTACAGCAGTGCACATCTCTGGTGCAGATACACATTTCTCTCATGCCACTTTACTTGAAACATAGGACTGTACAACACCTGTTGTTTTTTTTACAAGAAACCAACGTTTTGTGGTTGTTCTACATATTTTAGCCATAAAATACAATGAACATTTTATAATCAACATAACAAATAACAATACATACATACAGTAATTTAGAGTTGAATAGTAGATTTGATTGCAGGGGTAGAGTACATTAGTCAAGAAGTGTACAGCTGAATGCAGTCAGAAATAGTAGTCAGTAAAGTAGAATAGCATAAAGGAGAGTAATGAGAGTACATTAAAGCAGAATTAATTACAGTAGAACAGAGTTAAGTAGAATACAGAACAGAAAATTAAAGCACAGCAGTGTTGAGTACAGTACATTCAAGTAAAAGTAGTGTACACTTGAGTAGAGTAGTATTGAGTACAGTACAGTAGAATAAAGTTAAGTAGAGTAGTATTGAGTACATTACATTAGATTAAAGTAAAGTACCTGAGGCAGGTAGAGGTGTGCCGCGGAACAGCTCGTAGAACTTGGACAGGTAGGTGATCATCTTGGTTTTATCGAGCTCCTGACCAACACTCAGCTCCTGCCCGGATGTGAATGACGCGATGCCGAACTCACGCTCACTGATGTCAAGAGCCAGCTGGAGGTTTACAGAGTGGTCTTCCTCGTTTAATGAATCAAAATCTCTGATGGGAAAAATACAGTTATGTTGACTTGAGTGAGTGGAAGGTAATAATAAAAAAAGATTTAGCGTACATATTTCTTTGCAAAGTAGATGGGAAACATATATAGTCAGTGTCAGCCTATAGTTAGGTTTTAATGTACTTCTGTCTGTTTCTGGTTTACATTAACCCTGATCACTCGCACATCATATACATATAAACCTTTATCATTAAACATATTTTCCCTTCCTTCATTTTCAAAAAATGCATACTTTTCACTAACTGCCCTGAATAATGGCACAGGAATGTAACTGTGAGGTTTGTAGCTGAGATTCTTGAAAGGATTATATCCTGACATTCATTTCATGCTGGTGTCAGGTGACTGATGTTGAGCAGAGTGTAAGATAATAAGCACACTAATATGAAAACAGTTAAAAGCAAGCACAATGAAAGGCCTTTACACAGAATACAACTAAATCAATTTCCAGCCCTGCAGAATAACTTGTTTACTAAATTGCAGGAGAAAAATGGCAGCAAATCACTTTTAATGGAGGAAAACGGCAGCACTGACGTCTGCACCTTCGCTGATGGTGTACAGACGGCGTCAGAAATAATGTAAAGAGCAGTAACCTAGCAGCAGCAAACACAAACATTGGTGTTTTTCGGTAAGTTCAGGGGTTCGCTCTATCTTCCTTTCTTTCTTTTTCTAAGAACCTGCATAACTCTCTGCTGTCTGCTCTGCTGACAGGCATGCATATGGAGGAGGGAAGGGGGGGAAATGCCAGTGGTTCCTGGAAACTTACAGAACCACAAGAAATTGTAGTGGCATGTGGCGAGATATGAAGGCAATAATTAAAGTGTGAGAATATATCATTACATTTGTAAATGTACTTATCTACAGTTGCATCGGCTAATTCCACACTTTGCTAGTCAGTCTCACCATTACAAGTGGAAACTAAGGTACAGTTTTACAGTTTCTTTCTATTTTAAAAAGGAGGGTTTTGTGGACACTGAAGCACACCAAGTCCTATACGAGTAATTTTTAAAAAAAGGGACATAATTTAGACTTAAATCCTAGTCAATGCTAATATTTCTGGAGTATAAATGTTATAACAGGGATTGAAACGACCACTTTTTATTTCAGTTGAGGTGATAATCCCGTTGACAAAGAGGCCTTGGAAAGAAATGTGTGAAATGTACACAGCTGCTACAGACTACCAGCTATATATATGTATAGGCCATCTATGTATGAAGTATTTCTCACATCCATCAGCACTTTCTGTGTGAGGAAGTAGAGAGCGCAGCACAAAACACACACGGATCAAAGACTTTCTCTCATACCTACAGTAGCATATTTTACACACCTTTAATAAATTATTTTTCTCACAACCAGTTGTTACAAAAAAAAAGAGTGAAGAGCTAACCTTTAAAAAACTAGTTTGTTAATGTGACTGAATGAATGCATTAAAAACACTGGTTTCAGATGTAAAGATAAAGCCCTGCAGTCTGGTAGTGATATTATCTTGAGTGTGTTACGTACATCAGCTGGGGTTTGAACCTGTGGATGAGGGCGCAGAGGGCGATGCCACTTTTCCAAGAAGACGTCAGGTCTGTAATCATCACATTCCTGAAGCCATCCGTCTGTTTCTGGCACCAAGTAAGAAGCCTTGTCGGTCTGATTTCTGACTCTGAACAGAAACGTATAGTTCAAGATCTCAGCTAAAGAGGATATGATGTCACAAGCATGGACCAACACATGGCGTGCCAGTAAATGACGTTATCACAGAAATGATGCTGAGGTATGTACAAGACAGGACATGTACTTTCTCACAGCATTCGATGAAAGATTCTGCTACTGCTTTTACAGTATTGCTAGTTCCAAGATCATAACCCACTTTGTTACAAATAAGGACACATGTTCACTTTTCCCCCTTTTTTGGTATGAAGCACAAAACACAGTGCAATTTATAACAAGGAGCTTGAGTAATGTTGACCTTTGATAGTGATTTAAATGTGATTCATTAAATGTGTCTTCTATTATGAAATGAATACCATTTCTCAGAACTTTCTTAGCTGAGGATTATTAATAACATAAGATGAGAAACCATGATCAATCAGAATACTACTCTAAATAAACTAAAGAAGGGTCATAAGCAGTGTTGAACTACAGATCACCTCTGGAAACACTTAGACTTACCTTGTCTGCTGAGATTGACAGGTCTTCGTATGGTAACATTACGCTGCAGAGAGCAAGAACTCAATTCTGTGCTGATGTACAAGTGACGCACCTGAGACAGGGAGGAGAGGGGAAATGATTACAACAAACACCCTGAAGAAGTTGTGTAAGAAGTTTTGTGGATGGAAAGATGGAGAGACTCTGGTATTGCCAAGGTAAGCTCCCTCTCACCTGGTGTGGCCTGACACAGGCGGAGTTGAGGTTGGGGTACCGAGTCCCAGGGTCTATGGTGTACTGCTCAAAGTTTTTGCCAATGTTTTCAGTTGTTGTCTGTGGAAGTAGCCTGTAAATACTCTCCCTATAGAAACACACAATGGAACATAGTTCAAGAGAAATGGTGTTATGTAAATCACTTGGCAGTGCTCATTCAGACCGTATCTACAGATGCTATACTTAGCAGTATTGAATTATGTATTTATGTATGTGTATATACTGTATGTGTGTTTGTACCTTTCTGCCAACACTTCCAGAGCCGTGCGACCCTGAGCCCAGCTCTTTACCATCCAGGCCGTGTCAAAAGCAGCCAGGAAGCCTCTGGCACATCCCGTCCCCATGGGCCAGAAGGGCTGCACAGAAACACACAACAGATATAAATATGATTGTCTCTCAGTGTTTCTACTGGAATTTGTTAACCTGCATTAACCCCCCCAAGAGTTGATTAAATAATGACACATGTACCTTTTACAGTTTTTTTGCTGGCAATCATGTTTAGCATTGTAAGATCACATATCAAAATGCTGACTATCAGACTTTTTGCAAACAGCTATAATAATGATGGTGAATAAGCATTTGTCCCGAAAGCCATCTTTTACGTCTTTCTAAATGTAGTGATTGTCACGGAGTACAACCAAAACATTCTCCAGTGCTCCACTGTGTGACTACTGGCAACATTATCATCAAAGGTGAGTCTTTATAAAAAGAGGAGGTGGAGCAGCTCACACACTGGAGAAGGACATCAACAACAGTGCTGCAATGACCCCTGCCTCCCCTCTCTCTACTCTACAGCAAAACAAGACTGCCAGATTGTGTAACAGTTTATTTTCCCAGGCAGTCAGGCTCCTCAAAAACCTGCTACCTTTCTCCACTCATCTGAACTGGGCTCACTTTCCCATCCTTACCTCGAGTAAGCTGTCGCCAACCAGTGCTACCAGCAGCTGGTGTCCAAATCTCTCCCTGACCAGAGCAGCGTTCTCCGAGGCATACATGTTTGTGAAGTCAAACATCGCTACATCTGGCTGCCCGCAGTGGTTCATGGCAAAATCCAGCGTGGGAAGTTGGTAGTTGGTGCCAAAGTCAGCAGCCTCTCGGGCGTAGCACAGAAGAGCTTCCTGGTTGACATTTTCACTGCTCAGCAGCATCTGGGTGTCTATGTAATCCTGTTTAACACAAGCATGAGAGTCAGGAGTTTGAACACAGAAAATCTCAACATTTCCAAAAAGATCAAGATTACATACTGTTGCTTAAGAGGGATTCTTTTGTTTTTTAAAAGCTGCAGATGGAAGTAAAATATAAGCCATAAAATATATGAAAATGCATCAGATAATGAAAATGATGAATGCAGTTTTGTGCATGTCATTCTTTACTGAGATCTTCCCAACTAACCTGTTTCTTGCTGCCTATGGGCTCTTTGCTTTATTGATGGCATTATGTTTTACTACAATTGATTATATTGATTCCTTCTTTAAATGATAAAAGGAACTGAACTTCAAGAAGGTACAAATAATGACCCCTGAACACATGTTGTGCTTACATGGATGACGACTCCTTTGTCCAGCAGGCTTTGCTTCTTGGCAGTCATGACAAAGTAATGTGTGTTGTCCCTGTAGTACACGATGTTCTCCAGATCAATTCCTGCACAAATGATAGGGTTTGAGAATATTTAAAAGCACCAAAGAGGCATCAAATGTTGTTGTAGAGGACACTACTTTAAGATTCATTATTCTTTATTCCAGCTAACTCCACAGTAAGACTGAGCCTCACCTGTCTCCTCTTTGAGGTCGAGAAAGAATTTCTGGTTGAAGATGAAGGCCACGCCGCTGATCTCTTCTACTCTCGCCTCTGCAGTTGTGTTCCTGTTAATGAAGTTAGCTGTTATGGCTATCGCCAACTTTCCCCTGAACTCCTTCCTTTTGAAACCTGAAAATCAGATAAAGAATGAATTAGATAGATGGGGGGGGGGGGATAAAGGATGATGATCTTCACAGGTAAACCAGTACTCGGCTTGTCTGTTGAAACCAAAGGAAATCTAGCCTTCAACCGTAATTACAAGGCAGTTATTTCAGGATAAGAGGCAGCTTAAGAAGGTGAGCTCTTGTATAACCGAGGGAACAAAAGGCAGGCATTGCAAAAAGCACCAGGAATTACATTTAAATCCTTTTGTTTAATTATCCTTCAGAAATGCAAGTTTAGCATTTAATGGCCACTTCAGCCTTTCATTTTATGAAGAATCCACTTGATGGTGTCAGAGAAATAAGACATTTTATTGTATTCATATTTTCATGGAATATGATTCTATAGAGACTGTGCAATACTAAACCTGATAAAAAAGAAACTCATCTGTCATCGTGAGATATTTTTGAAAGACATCAAGCAGCAAAGAGAAAATAAAATAGGGTTTTCTTAAAGGCACAACGTTCTAATGGATTAAGATGAAGGTTGCTGTTATATTTTCATTTATATCAAATCACCTTTTAAACCAGCAAACCACTTGTAATTCTAAAGCTGTAAGTGCAGTAAAGAATGGTATTGTGTTGGTTGCTAACTACAACTGAAACTATGAGACAGTGAAAGTACTTAGGAAGGAGTGCATGTCTGAACTTGTGTCACAGCTCCATACTGTCACTGTTAAGAATCCCAGAGGAACATTTCCCCCTTCTCTATTTCTTCACTGCAATGCAGATGTGATTGTATTTAACTCTGTGTTACCGTAGCTAGGCCACGAAAGCAGCTGAAAGGCGGGCTGACTGCAGGGGAAAATCATTCCCTCCAGGCTTCATCATAATTGAAGAATGAGCTAAACATCTTGTCTAGCCCAAAATTGCCCTTTTTAGGAATAAGCATCTGATGCGAAATTGGTTGTTGGATGACAGCATTTTTAGGAGAGAGTCCAGCGTGAATGCATCAGCTGCTGAGCCAAAGATCTATTTATGAGCACTGTTTCAGGGTTTTGTGATAAACCTTTCCCCTGGAGAGATCAATGGCTTCATACAGGTCTAAGTTTACCAAAAGTATGTTTTAATTATAGCTTCACAACAGAAATAGTGCAGCACACATTACTCAAAGGAAAGCTCAGAAACACTATTCAGTCAACAAGGTGTGCTGGGTTTTATCATAGTTCTCTGAAACATGCCTAGGATGGGAGAGATTTCCCAATAATGCGAACACATAAGTGGAATATGGATAGCCTTTTTTTATTTTTTTTTATTGCAAATGAACCTCAAGCGAAAGTTCAGTCAGGAAGAATATCTTTTGTTGGCTAAGGCATGATGTTTTTTTCCCAAACATCCTGCCATTCACTCATCTCACGCATACTCACTCATAATTTCCTTACTGTATTTGTCTGGGGCTGTCAATCGTTATATCTGCTGCTCTCATTAGTTGGTCACATTTATTCAATTGCACAAAAACACACCTACATTTTTATCCTACCATCTTTCTGATGTCTCTTTTCAAAAATATCTCCATGTATTGAGTAAGTTCATGCTGATGTATGACGCGCCCCTTTACTTCCCAAATAGTTTTACAGATTTATCAGCCTCATAATTGTATCTGCCACCAGCCTCAGCAGTATCATCATAAACCTCCATCCCCACCAGTTTCTGGGCTCCAAGCGGGGATTTATCTTTCGGCTGCTCAGGGCAGACACACTTTTGATAACACATAAACACTGGGATCACTGTTTTTTTACTTCCTGGAACAGACACTGGTGACTTCATAATGTACTTTGTTGGCACCTGTATTTTTAACACCCCTTTTGTTCACTGTCCTCTCACCTTCCAGAGTATTTCTGCGTCCGTCAGCCCCCACCACGACATCAAACTCAAAGTTGGCCACGGGGTGATCAGCAGGTCGGATTGCAGCTCTCCACCCAATACCTGAGAGACAGAAACCAAACGGAGAAGGTGTCAGACACATCAAATAAGTATCTTTACATACATTTGAATATTCCCTTCCCCTCCAGACATCTGGACCATTCTGACACTTTCTTTGCTTTAATAGTTCTACATAAATAGAAAGATATAATGGCATACTTTGCGAGCTACAAACGTGACTAACAAACAACACAGTTTACAGATTTAACATTAGCCTTTTAAAGTATGCGGTGTGTGTGTTGCAGGAGTGTGAGAGCTTGGGGACAGTTTGTTGCATCGCCTCGTGGAAAATTCATACCATGATGTCAAGGGCACAGCTAAGTCCATCACAGCAGAACAGGAGGGATAAGTTTGTGTCTAAATTTAGGCAAGGCTCTTGTTGTTATCACAGTATAGATATAACAACTGAAGAGAACACCTGACAGCAAAGTGTCAGATATTTTCTTCCTGAGAGTCTAGTCCAGTCTGAAGTGCTGAATGTCTAAGAAAATCATGACATGAGAGGGAAATACACAACAACTGCCACAACGGACAAATTGTTTATTTACTCATTTGATATGCAAATGCTGTATATATATAGCATGTGTAAATGAACACTTACAGGAACGTTAGCAAATATACTTGACCTGTGCTAACCTCATCTAAATATAATGAAGAACTAAATCAGTGCCAATGTCTTCCCCCTGTTTATTGGTGGATGTCAAGGATATTAAATGCTGCAAGATGAGAAGTCCCTTGCTGCCTGACCAGTCCTGAAGCAGAGCAGCAGAGTAAAAACAGATCTGAAAAGAAGCTACACAGTATCTAACAAACTGACAGATATAGCCTGATGTCTATATCTAGCTTTACTCAATATTAAACTCTTCAACTTCATGCCACCTCACCCCCCGGCTTTATTGATTCCAGCTGTTCTTCAACTTAAACAAAGCTAGCAGATTATGAAACAACCGTCTGTGGATTAATATACACCCGGTATTTATCTTTGGTTTGTGGATGGATACCTTCATTTTCCTGATCCTCTGGAGGTTCCAACAGTTTGACAAACTCCACATTGATGTGAAACTCCACAGCAACAATCAGGGCAACCTTCAGCAGGACCAGCTGCAGCTTTTGAATGCCTGGGAGACACAGAAACACACATCAGTGTTTGCAAACACAAGTAAAACACTGGCAGACTCTGTGTTTGGTGTTATGTTGTCTTGACACTGTTGAGAGAACTGTTACTCTCCTGTATCTTTGCTGGTGCTTACCTCTTGTAGTTATGTTGGAAAGAATAGCACAAACCAACACTCGGTTGATGTTCTAATCCTACAGTATATATACATGTCCTTTATATAGATTTTAAACTTCAGTTATTTCCTAGAAATCTACATCATTTACTTTATTCATGTACCCTACCTTATAGAAATGGTTTTGAAAGTACACAAATACAAGTACATAATGATTCACACATATACAATCATGCATCAAAAAGTAGTAAAAGGAGTGGAAATAAAAGATACAGCCCAAATTGTATAGCTGTACTACAGTACCAAGAGAAATGCAAGATCGATAAAAGGCCAAATAATATATTAAAAAGTTACATAAAAGCTGATAGAATTGCAAGGCCATAGTCTGGAGCTTCAACCCTTTTTATATTCCAATCTTTATTCCAGACTCAAGGTCCATATCACATACAAAAAGACAAAACACACATCAATAAATAAGATAAAAAGCTAAACACAAAACAGATAAAAACAAACAGATAGATTGTAGCCTGTGTCCAATATAATAATGTACATTAAAGGAGATCACAAACACTAATAATATGGGATCACAGGTCAATGAAAAGCAGAAACTGCCAGCGTGTTTGTTTCTATAAAGTCAGACACTCACTTATGTGGTCTATGGCCCCGGCGCAGAATTTGCCATAGAACTTTTTGGCCCCGAGGCCCCGCAGGTCATGAATGGTGTAAGGCCAGAGGTGCAGCACGTTGTTCCTGGCGAAGGAGTCTCTCTTTTCGATCACCACCACTTTGGCACCCATCAAAGCGAGCTCGATGGCTGTCCGCAGGCCGCAGGGGCCGCCTCCGATGATCAGGCACTGAATTAAAGAGATGACAAATTGATCTCATTACTTACACAAGGCAGAAATAAATAAAAGTAATCAAAGACAGCTGAGACTTTTCCTGCAGAGAGGGCTGGGATGAAAAATGGTTTACAATACATCCTACTTGTTTATTAACATAGCATTGTATCATCTACATAGATCATGACAGGAAGCAGCACTTTACTGCATCACTGGAGCATTTACAGGCTGAGTGTCACACTCAAGGACACTTCAGCAGAGCTAACACTGACTTCTCCGGACCCTGTGTGTGTGTGTGTGTGTGTGTGTGTGTGTGTGTGTGTGTGTGTGTGTGTGTGTGTGTGTGTGTGTGTGAGGGTTGTTCGTGAAACATAAAGAGAGCTTACACATGCCCGAAGCAGCGCATTTATCAGGAAATTGCCAAGAGGAATGTTTGTGAACATCAAACCATGATAACAACCGTTGCCCTACATGTCTAAGGAGGTATTCATTCATCGGCCTCACCCAAAAAATGCATGAAGTCAGTTTATTGAGGTTTTAGATTGCGTCTGAGAATGTGAAACTCAAACATGACATCATCCTCTTGAATGATAGATGAAAGAAATGACGCATGTGTAAACTGTTTTAGTTCTTTCTAAAAACACAAAAAGAGGCTCTATAGAGAACTAAAAGGAGAAAAATCTATTTTCTTTCACCTTCCAAGAAAATACTTTAATGCAACAACACAAAGAGCTCCACTTTGTACAATCTCTAAATCCCACCAGTGTGCAGACAGAAGTTCGAAACATATTTGAACACAAGAATTCACTTCCTGCAGGATAAGACAAAGTGCTGAGAGTGCAATGAGGTGCCATCCGTGCATCAGTTCTGTGAGATAATCGGAGTGGGTGACTTTTACAGAACACCCAGTGCCAGCTGACCGAGCTCCAAATCCTGCCCTAAATGGCTCTCTACTCCTGCGCTAAAACCAGATGATTGGGGCTTTAGTCACTCCCTATTCTCCCTCTGTAAAAGTGTGGTTAAACGTCTGCCTCACTGGGGATGTGGGTGATGAGAAACACAGTGTGTTATCATGTGTTGCCTGAGGTTATCAGGATGAGGTATTCTCAGGTGTGAAGCACACACACAGGTGGTGAGAGAGCTGCCCAGACAAGCCTGGCTGCTGGCCATGTTTTTTTGTAATTCCCTCAACAAAAGGGCACTGAGTGTAAATGTAAGCCGGAGAGAGATGAAGGGATGCTGAAAATGTCAATTATGTGCACAGTACTAACTCAGTTTATTCAGATGTACATTCACAATGTGCACATTTCTAATCTAAACTCATGAAGCTGTTTCCATCTGTCTATCAGCCTTTAGCGGTAACAGGCTGTTGGTTTTAGCCAGTTTCCATGAGCCAATATATTATTCCAGATACAAGGCTTTTCCTGGTGGCTCGCTCCACATCTGTTGAGTCAGCTTCCTTTCAGCTTCCCACTTGTGACCTCGCTCTTATCCCACAGCCACCTCGCCCTGGTCACATAGAGAGAACAGTACACCTATTGTATCACAGTATGATCACAAATAAATAAAATCTGTTAAAAAAAAACTGTTTTCTATTAAAACGTACAGGCTGCATTATGTGTTCTCATCCTTGGAGAAACTTGACATATTTTGGTATGTGTCTGAACCTCTCTTCAGTGGTTCATTAATAAAACAGATATTTCAACGTGTGCCTACTTTGTTCATGTACTGTTGAAGTTAATTGCAGTAGTTGTGTGCTATAATGTATTTTTACAAAGTGTGAAGAGGAGGCAACTTTAGAATAGGGAACATGTTCAGGTCAATTAGAGTCAAACTAATAGCTTATTGGTTATGAACAAGACTTCACTTTAAAATAGGGAACATATTCTTAGATAGAAATACCTAATTAGAGTCAAACTACTAGCTTATTGGTTATGAACAAGCCTTCACTTTAACCCTTGTGTTATGTTCACATTTCGCACCCTTTGGTAATGTTCGGGTCAAATTGACCCGGGACATATTTCAGGGTTTAAAAAAAATACAGAACTAAATTCAACATGCACAATTCCATAGTCTTTAACTCATTCCCCAACAATATAAATGAAATATATGATTAGTTTTTGAAAATACTCTTTGCTAGATCAAATTTAACAATGGAAGTGTCCATCGTTTTTTGTGATAAAAATGTAATTTATGTTAAAAAATATATGCTGTAATAAAAACTAGGTTTACATTTTGCTCATGCTTTTCTAGGACAAATGTAAATGAACATTTTTTTTCATTAATGTTTATTATTTTTAAACTGTCATATCATAATCAAAGCCCTGAAGGAAATAAAGCAATTTATCAGCAATTGGAACACAAGAACCACATCCAAAAGTATTTGGCTGTGAAATATAGAGGGAATGAAACATCCATATAAATTACATAGAACAGATATAAACACAAAGCAAATAAAAACAATTAACAGTCACTATTCATAAAATACAGTATATCCGAAAAATATATTGATGAAGTGACGCTGCAGAACATCATGTGAGTCAATGGGCAAGTCCGTTTAGGAAACACATGATGTACAGAACTTCTTCGTGTGTATAGCACAGATGTACTTGTTGCAGTTGCTGCATGTAGTCTGTGTCTTGGAGTCCTTTGAGGGTCCACAGACCTCACAGCTGGCTGTGGGGGTCTTCCAGAAGCTGACTGTGGGGGTCTTCTTGCGGCTGGCTGTGGGGGTCTTCCAGAAGCTGGCTCTGAGTCAAGTTCATCTTCCAATTTGCTGTCAAATTCTGAGTTTACCTCCACATTATCCTCATCTTCAGAAATGTCTTCCTGTCCCACTTCACCGTGTTCCTCTAATGCATTCCACTCACTCTCATCCATTATTAGCTCCAAGGCTCTGAACATAATATGTTTTGGCCATTTTGCTGGTAGATAATTGTAGTTCTGGACTACACTGTAATGTGAGGTTACAGTGGTTACAGTATGTCTCTGTTTAGTCCCTCCTCCGGCGTGCAGGTGCGAGGGGGACAGTGCGAGAAAATGTAAAATGTTTATACATTTCTGGAAGATCTAAAATGTTTATAATGTTCTAGGATAGTTTTGTGTACACACTACAAAGGGTAAAGATCAAGGGAAAAGAGGAACAAACAGCTTCTCTATGCATACGATTGTGTGTGTGTGTGTGTGTGTGTGTGTGTGTGTGTGTGTGTGTGTGTGTATGTCTTTAGTTTGTGTGTTTCTGTGTGTGCGTGTGTCTTTAGTTTGTGTGTTTCTGTGTGTGTGTGTGTCTTTAGTTTCTGTGTTTCTGTGTGTTTTTCTCTGTCTGTCTGTCCTGGTATTGTATCCGGGTCAGATTGACCCAAACCTCTTATGAAGGACATAAATGCGGGTGGGCATTTTTTCATAAGTGGAAAAAAATTAAAACAATTCCACATGTCCTTCACAATAAATAAGCCCCGGCCATTGAGTTTCAGGTTGAACGAAAATATCCTTATATTTTTTTTTATTCATTGAAAATGGAAATCGGGTCAATTTGACCCGAACACCACACAAGGGTTAAAATAGGGAACATATTCTTAGATAGAAATACCTAATTAGAGTCAAACTACTAGATTATTGGTTATGAACAAGACTTCACTTTAAAATAGGGAACATATTATGTGTAGCTGACCGTTGAGCGGCCCGACCAAGCAAGGAGGCAGAGGCAGAACGTCCAAAATACAACCCGGTGTGGGCATTTATTACTCACGGGCACATGACACAGCCTCAATCTCGCTGTTCACGTGAGCACAGTCACCAGCAACAAGGATCTCACGCACCAAACAAAACAGGAAACACAGAGCCTAAATACCCACACTAATTAACCCAAGAAGACACAGGTGAGGGGGGAGGAGACAACACAGGGCACCAGGTGAACCCAATCACCAGCCACAGACAAAACGGGAGGGGGAACACTTTCAAACTAAATCACATGTGCAATATTACAAGGCCCGAAGCTGTCAGTCCACAGTCACATCTTCTTAGATATAAATACCTAATTTTGAGTAATTTAGACACAATTAACACTTATAGTTTCATGTCTTGTTACATAAGAAGAGATCATATTTTGTTAAGTGTTATTATGGGAGAAAACTATTCTTGTGGTACTACTGCCTTATTAGGCCCATATTGAGCAGAGCATATTAAGACCAAAACTCATGTACAACAACTTCCTTACTTGCAATAAATAAACACTAATTAGAGGGTTATTGAGGAAAAACTCTCAACTAATGGCTTATTACTTGTAGAATATGGTCATGTGGAATAAGGCATTAATAAGTGTTTTATAATGACTAATAAAGACCCAATATACTGCGAATATGCATGCTAATTAACAACTAGTTGATGGTTAATTTGTGTACCTTAATATAAAGTGTTACCAAATCAAGATATGCCAACAGTTTAAGCGTTACATACTGTGTTGTGTCACTGAGATAAAATGATGAAATGTGCCGGGAATAATTCAAAAAATCACATAAAAGATGAGAAAAAAATATCAATTTGCAATTTCTCCGTGCACAGTGAAGCTTTATGAGGAAGGAACAGACTGTCGGTTGCATTTCAGTGTCACAACTGCCAGCTGTGTCAGGCCATTAAACACGGATGACATCACATCCTTTAAAGATTGCTGCTACGGGGGAATATGAAGACGAGGCGCCGAGTAATATCACATCTGTCGAAGTTAAAAGAGCTGAGGTGCCATAAAACCAAGAGTCGTCACCAGGTGATTTTTCCCAGGGAGAGAATAAATTAGAGATCAAATAAAAGCTCATTGTTCATCCTGTGAGTGATTAAAACAAACGTAATAGTGCACGTGTGTGCTGAACATGTGTGGATATTAATAAGCAACATAATAAAATGGCAGACTTTTATAAGCAAAACTCAATCTCATAAATTCCCAATAAAGTGAATAGTGTTTCAATAATGCACACACTCCACTGTTTGTACATCTGGTTTAGTACTTTGGGAACACTAAAGTAACAGTAGCACAGTAACACTTTATTTAACAACACAACCCTGTGGATTGTCAGAATTACAAAACTGACCTAAAACGTTTGGCTCAGAAGTTAAGGAGAGTCACACTTTATTTATTTGTACCTATTTTGGTGTTGAATCAGAACTAACCTGTAAACCTGAGCTCACGCTGAAGCATTTGAAACACACTTTAATAACAATCTGGGCTGGGCTCCAACTTAAGAAGAGCCAATAAAGAAAAGAGCACACCCTCAGAACAACTGGGGCCAAATAATCACAGTTGGTGAGAGATGCTGTCTGTTCTCTGCACAATAAAAACACTCTTTCATGCTGCAGGCCTGAAAGGTAATCACACTCCTCCAGGTTTTCCTACTTTCCCTCATCACCTTTACTGCCTAGCCCCCTCCAAAACACACACCCTGACATGATTTCTTTGTCCACTCCATATTCCAACTATCTCTCCATAAATAAACTCAAAAATAGCTCTCCAATAGCTCCCTTCTTACGCGTGTTACAGGAATTTGTCTTTTGTCTGCTATTTGCTCTCGGAAAGGGATCGGCTGTTTGTGTTATTTGGCTGCAGGGTAAAGAAAGCATAGTTGTAAAGTTGTTTATCTTCTGTATTTTTTCACAACTTCGGGGCCACTTTTTCTTTTGATTATGTGGACATGTGGTTGAGTATGATGTTTCTTAGCTGTGATTTATAGCAATGTTACTCTTTGAACGACTCATTACATTGATGGTTCAGTGGAGCATATTCTATGATATAAAGTTACATATGATGTTTGTATTTCATTATGTACTTTGTCATGTCGCACCTGTCTGAGGGGGAAATATCGAGTGCAAAGCAATGTATATCTGTTTAATTTCCTGCCTGTATGTTGGGAGCTGTTGCAGTGAAAGAGTGAGTGTTACAGTAGTGGATGGCAGGTTGAGGTGAAAAGTGCTACAGCTCACTTTAATACAGAGAGCTGATTGTTTCAAACAAAAACATGGTGTGACCTTACGTAGGTGAGGTCACTTAGACACTTCCTAAGTCATGAAAACATCAACTTTAATGATGTATGAACAAAACCTAATTATATTTGAAGACCATTTAAAAAAGGACCGGAGACATTTTAGCGGTGTGAACTGTTTTCAAAACGCATACAACGCTTTTTAAGCTCTCTGCACTTAATAAAAAGTATTGTGATATAGATCACTCATCGCGGTGAACATTTAGTCAGCTTTATTATCGTAATGTAATTGCTCAACAGTTGGAAAAACTCTTCTATTTTAGCTGATATACTTGAAAATGTTGATCAAGCAAATAAAGACTTTGTGAAAAGTAAGATGGATATTGTTGTTTTTTCTATTAAAATAGCTTCTGTGAGGCAGTTGACTGAAATTCTATGATGTGGTGCATTCACTTGGTGGTACAAAATAGCTATGTGACCACACAAACATAACAAAACGTTAAGAGTGCACTTTAGGTGTATGGGAATTGTGAGAAACCACCTGTCTGACACCAGGTGGAAAATACGTGTTTAGATGTATATATTTACATGTGTCTTGCTCTACACTCTTCAATCCATAATTTTCATCTCCTAGCCTATGAGCAGGAAATATTGTTGCAATACAGCTGTACAAAAACACATTTAAACATACCTTAGTGCCCACACAGGCTTGGCCTTTCTTGTACTCCTTGTGCGACATCCTCTTGTCCAGCTTACTCCACAGTGCTTGGGCCTTCCAGGAGGTGAGCTTGGCCTTCAGACTGCTGTAGAAAATGTCATTGTCGGCAGGGTCGAGGTCCAGCCTCCTGCAGAGGACGTTGAAGGCCTGGAGGGCTCCCTTACAGGTCGAGGACTGTACGAAGTCCTCAAACAGCTTGCCCACATTGTCCCTGTCCTCCTCCATCTCTCCCATGCTCCCTCTGAAGTAGAGAGTTTGCTGTGCTGAGGCTCCTGCTCACTTCAGCAGTCTCTGCCAGATGTGGCTACACCCTCAGCTTGGCCCGCACCGTCATGCCCAGTCTGTGAAGGCAAGACACATTAGAGTCTGATGTCATCTCATGGCAGAGCATCTCTCACAGATGGCTTTTGGCAGCTGATGTGTTTCCAAATTCTATAATTAGCCTGATTAAATGGAAACGTTTCATTAGATTATTTTAATTAAATGGTTTAGGGTTAAAATTGTTACATTTGAATTCAATGACAAAACAGCTGTATTTCATCTTCTCCATGACTCAAGCAGACATTACCGAATTATCAAGAGGCTGCTCTGTACCAGTCCTCGGTACAGTACAGTTAGCTTACACCCACACTGACGAGATAACATTTCAAGTAGAGACAAGACAGTGTAGATAAACACTGGGGATTGAACCAAAAAAAGTTAAATGAGCTGCCTGTCATTGTCAGACAGCTGCTGAGCACATTTACAACATGTGCTTTTTAGAGGCATAACCCTTTACAGAATTAAATCAGTGAAGAACCAACAAGAGGTAGTCACCATAAACAAATGATCAAAACTATAAAGTACAGTACAGTAAGCAGTATATATCTTGCGATTGAATCACATCTGCCAAATTGCACTAGGGGCATACATTGGAGCTTTCATTTTAAATTTGAACTGCACCTGTTGGGTTTCGTGAGGCTAACTCTGCCATGTGCGTAAAGTTTGGGGGAAAGTCCATTGGCCCTTTACCTCCTTGCCCAGACCATATCTTCAAATGTCACATATTTGAATCACTATGACAACGATGGAACGTTTTTGAACCGCTTCCTGCACTGTTGCAACGCCATTGCTATAAAGGAAATCTGTCCACAGAAACACACACAGACTAAAAAGGTGGAAACAATAACACCAGTGCATTGTCACAGCTGGCAAAAACATTTATGCTATACAGTGTTTCCCAGATCTGTGGGATATACTTGGGCGGGTGGTGACGGCCGGCGGGGGGGGGGGTCCGCGGAGAAAAAAAAGTTTTTACAACATGTTTATTTATTGACTTTTCATTCCTGTATAATCATTTTGTGCAAAGATGGCACTGTTTGTCAGAGCACTTCATCCTTCTGGGATTTCATGAAGAACAGCTCCAACGTCTGTGTGTATGGGAACGCCTCTAGTGCTGGTCCATTACGTCTTCAACAATGGTAAAAGTGGTTTCCTTATTATTGCAACTTGCAAGGAATTCAAACCTTTCATTCCTGGTTTGCAGGACTGACCATGGATGAGTAGACCGGAGAAGTATTTGTCTTGTGGCTGAAAACCAGACAATGTTTTCAGCAGTAGAGAGAGAGGTCTTTGAAACCAGTTGTAATGCAAGTTCAGACAAACACAGATTCATGAGCTTTGATTGTGTATGCATGCTTCATAGTCCGCCTTCTTCTGAGGAATGTGCCTTTGGTATGATTACATATGAGCCTATTTGTGAAATATACCATTACAAAAACTGACAGAATTAAATACAATACAGTTTAGTATTTTCTTAACTCCAATCAACCATCAAGCAATTCCTAAACCATGCCAGAAAAATCTTTGCCCAAACACAACATTAAAAGTAAAATGTGGAAATGTTCTGCATTTAGCATGCATGGGGAGGAGACCACAACTTCTGTGAGTTTTGGGACACATCTACCTTTGATATTTGAATGTTCCATAGAGCGGGATGGGCAAGGTTAGAGGAGGGGTCAGATTAGCTGTGCAGGACTCTAAACAGCCCCCCGCAATAATCTAAAATTACGGTCACACCCCACTCCTGGTAGTATCCCGACTGTGACACGAAACTGCTCAAAGACAGCTTCAGCCAGGGACAATACACCAACGCAATGGCAAAGTTAGGAGCTACTTCTGATAATCCTTCAACACTAGGTCACAACATATTTCATTATGATTTGAATGTGGGGATGTTTTGAATATTGCTCCGACAGCAACAATGTTTGTCCCCATGCTAAAATTAGCATATTCATCCATCCATCCATCCATCTTCTCCCGCCTATCCGTGGTCGGGTCGCGGGGGTAGCAGTTCCAGCAGAGAGCCCCAAACTTTCTTTTCCCTGGCGACATCAACCAGCTCTGACTGGGGGATCCCAAGGCGCTCCCAGGCCAGCGAAGAGATATAATCCCTCCACCTGGTCCTAGGTCTACCCCTTGGTCTCTTCCCAGCTGGACGTGCCTGGAACACCTCCCTAGGGAGGCGCCCAGGTGGCATCCTAACTAGGTGCCCGAACCACCTCAACTGGCTCCTTTCGACGCGAAGGAGGAGCGGCTCAACTCCGAGTCCCTCCCTGATGACCGAACTTCTCACCTTATCCCTAAGGGAGACACCAGCCACCCTGCGGAGAAAACCCATCTCGGCCGCTTGTATCCGCGATCTCGTTCTTTCGGTCATGACCCATCCTTCATGACCATAGGTGAGGGTAGGAACGAAAATGGCCCGGTAGACAGAGAGCTTTGCCTTCTGGCTCAGCTCCCTTTTCGTCACAACGGTGCGGTAAAGCGACTGCAGTACCGCTCCCGCTGCTCCGATTCTCCGGCCCATCTCACGCTCCATTGTTCCCTCACTCGAGAACAAGACCCCGAGATACTTGAACTCCTTCACTTGGGTTAAGGACTCATTCCCTACTTGAAGTGGACAGTCCATCGGTTTCCTGCTGAGAACCATGGCCTCAGATTTGGAGGTGCTGATCCTCATCCCAGCCACTTCACACTCGGTTGCGAACCGATCCAGTGAGTGCTGAAGGTCGCAGACCGATGAAGCCATTAGAACCACATCATCTGCAAAAAGCAGTGGTGCAATCCTTAGTCCACCGAACTGCAGACCCCCTCCCCCACGACTACGCCTCGAAATCCGATCCATGTATATTACAAACAGGATTGGTGACAAAGCGCAGCCCTGGCGGAGGCCAACCCTCACCGGAAATGTGTCCGACTTACTGCCGAGGACCCGGACACAGCTCTCGCTTTGGGAGTACAGAGATTGGATGGCCCTGAGTAGAGACCCCCTCACCCAGTGTTCGAAATGGGGGGGAGCCAGGGGGAGCTTGGCTCCCCCGAAGAGGGAGGGAGCTCCCCTGAAGGCCGACTTTGAAATAAATAGGGGGAGCCCAAAATAATCGTGTATATTTGTGTCACACAGATTAGAAATGTTGAGTTTCTGTAAATAAGTTCTTGAAATAAATAATAGTCATTGTTCATTACAGTTTCTGAATATTTGTTTTATATTTGTGAATATTTCTGGGTGTTGCCATCTGTACGTGGCGGCGCTGCATTCTTTACGCTACTTACGTTGCTATGGTTACGGCAGGCGATGCTGGCGCGGTATTTGATATTTTCATACTGATATTTTTTTTAACTCTGGCTTTGTAATAAAAAATATGGCGAAACGAAAACAGCCAAGCCCCGCAGCTTTTGGATTCACAAGCAAAGAAGCGAAGGAGTCTAAAAATGACAACGTGAACGGAACAACTTTTAGTTGGCCGGCTGTAAGCGGCGTTAGGGTCGAGTTTGACAGCTCCACACCGAGGGAGAGGCCTGCCGATGCGGAGCGTGAAGAGGCTTCAACAACGGCCACAGCCGTCGGCGCCACCTGCGCTAGCGAACCTGACGATGCCCATGACCTGCCTTTTAACTGGACACAAAAAATATGGAGTGAGTGGAATGAAAGTTATCTATGGCTTTTAAAAAAAAATAAAAAAATGTGGATGTGAGATTTGCAAAGAGGCAACAAGTATATTGATCTCCCTGCCGCTCGCAAAAAAATCCACCTTTGTGCACCTTTCACAAGAATGGATTCACATAATGTTCCTCCACATGTTGAGGCTCCAGTGCTCTCCCTGACCTTTTAGTCAGAGCGGAGCAGGACTCCTGACTTTTCCCTGTGTTTTTTATATATCTATTGTAATGTATTGTCTTTTATTGTGATTGTAGTAATGTGTTTTTATGTGATTGTAGTATTTATTAGCACTAAGAGCCAGGCACACGAAAAAGCGATCGAGATTTCGGAGATGAGAAAAAAGATGTCCTACCAAACAAGGTAGGACTATTGGCAATCAATATTGATCTAATGCAGGAAACATATACATCTTTCAGGTCTGCCTATATGATTGCCAAACAAATAAATAAATAGGGCTCCCCCGAAAGCAAATGGGTAATTCGAACACTGCCCTCACCCCATACTCCCGCAGCACCTCCCACAGTAACTCCCTGGGAACTCGGTCATACGCCTTCTCCAAGTCTACAAAACACATGTAGACCGGATAAGCGTACTCCCAGGCCCCCTCCAGGATCCTTGCGAGAGTAAAAAGCTGATCCGTCGTTCCACGACCAGGACGGAATCCGCATTGTTCCTCCTCAATCTGAGGTTCGACAATCGGCCTGACCCTCCTTTCGAGTACCTTAGAGTAAACTTTCCCGGGGAGGCTGAGTAGTGTGATGCCTCTGTAATTGGCACACACCCTCTGATCCCCCTTTTTAAAAAGGGGAACCACCACCCCGGTCTGCCACTCCTTCGGTACTGTTTCCGACTTCCACGCAACGTTGATGAGACGTGTCAACCATGACAGTCCCTCAACACCCAGAGCCTTCAGCATTTCCGGGCAGATCTCATCCACCCCCGGGGCTTTGCCACTGTGGAGTTGTTTGACGACCTCAGTGACCTCCCCCCGGGAGATTGGTGTTGATCCCCCGTCATACTCCAGCTCTGCCTCTAACATAGAGGGCGGAGTTGTCGGGTTCAGGAGTTCCTCAAAGTGTTCCTTCCAACGCCCTAACACTCCATCAGTTGAGGTCAACAACGTCCCATCCTTACTGTACACAGCTTGGATGGTTCCCTGCTTCCCCCCTCCTGAGGTGTCGGACAGTTTTCCAGAACAACTTTGGTGCCGCCCGAAAGTCCTTCTCCATGTCTTCTCCGAACTTCTCCCACACCCGCTGCTTTGCCTCGGCCACGGATGAGGCTGCTGCCCTTCGGGCCTGTCGGTACCTTGCAACTGCCTCGGGAGTCCCCCGGGATAACAAATCCCTGAAGGCCTCC